TATTCCACACCATGAGAACCGAAAATGTTTGCATTACTTTGGGAATGTTGGAAAGCAAAATTGATATCGATATCGCGAATATACACCGTACTAGTACCTAGCATTATTTCGGCTATTTATGACTTCAAGATCGTGACCCCAGGAAGCAGCTGCGCCTCTGCCGGGCTACACGCAAGTGGCAAAATGGCTGCAGCAGCAGGACTGCTATGGTAAAGAATTGAAAATCGAGTTGATTAGGGCACTATCAATTTTAAGAAAACCTAATTCGCGCTTGCAAAGAAACTTCTTTCTTTTCATAATGCTTCTGTGCGCGAAGCTGTCTCCAATTTACACACAATATTGTGCGATGTCCATGATGTTTGCAAAAAGCACCATAGTCTGATAATGCTAGTTTGCACCAAATTGTCTCGCATTTGCCAACAATACCAAGACCTTTTTTGAAGCTGCAAAAGGCAACCCGAACAGAAGGTCATTCAGAACATGGAGCAAGTGATCGGCGCAGTCACAACAAGCCAGAATGAATAATGCACATATGTGTATGTATGTCAAAAGATGCAGGTCGAAAATAGATTAATGCAATGTTATCAAACAAATGCAAAACCTTTCAAAGCATCAAACAAATTGAAGTTTTATCAATGCAGTGTTGCCACACAAATGTATTCTATCAAAGCGTCAAACACAAGTATTGAACTTGCGACGCGCTCACGCATATAGCTATTAAACATATAGTATTTTGGTAAGGCCTTATTCTGTTACGCCGCGTTCGAACGTTGCAGCGGAAAGCGCTAGCGCACGCGTCCAAGAAATGTTCGATGAGCACGTAGGAACGAAATGAGAAATGTGGACCCAAGGTCGGTCGCTGCGAACAAATTCGAAATAAATCAAGGTTGTCTGTGGTAGACCATGCGGGATTCGAACCCGCGACCGACGGCGTCGGAACGTAGCGGAATTGCTTAGCGGTACATGCCCCAGGACGAAAGCAACATATATGAAATAATTGGAATGTTTCTTGTATTTGAAAATCGAAATATATAAAATAATCCAATTATTGGGGGGGGGGGTCCAGACCGCGACGGAAGCCGTAGACCCATTATGAGGGAGCCAAGACTAAAAATGAAAAGGCGAAAATGTAGGAAATAATCCGATTATTTCGAAGATTTTGTTTCAGAAATCCGCGTGTTTTTGTTCGATCGCACCCCAGTCCGTGATAATTTAATTCAATTAAAAATATGGGTCTATTTTTTATCGTATTCAGTCCGGAAAGTTTGAATAGGTGGTATAATTCGAGGGTATGATTCGGGAGGTATGATTCGGAGGTATGATTCGAGGACATGATTTGGAGATGATTCGTTGCTTTCAAATTGTATTGTTGTATTAATTGGACTTCCAGTAGTGGACCCACTTTGCGCCGAGGCAATAGGCAAGCAACATCCATTAGATGATACATAGATCAGGCAAATGCATTCTTCCACCAAAAATTCCAATGGCCCTCTGCAGGCCCCACCAAAACAATCAGGATGTGGGATGGGTGGGAAATTGTGGGGAGGTGCGCAATTCGAATATAAATCTGTCATAAATCGGATATAATTCGTATAATAACTAAATTCTGCAAAAGAAGGTATTCCTTCATTTCTTTTTCCTAAAGAAAACATATGGAAATATTGTAAATATCCCCAAAATATGAATCTTTCTTCTTCCCATAAAAGAATAGATTACTTTACTTCGAGTGATCCCCACCATGACATTTCAATCATTTGTCTTGATGCCATAGTGAGGAGCATGTTGCCATAGTCGTTAGTATTGTAGTTCTCGATGTTGCTTGTGGGTCCTCGGGTTGTGTGCTGTGGTTGTGTGCTGTGTTGTGGTTGTGGTTGTGTTTGTGGTTGTGTGTTTGTGGTTGTGGTAGTGGTTGTGATTGTGTGTTTGTAGTTGTGGTTGTGGTTGCGGTTGTGTCTTTGTGATTGCGGTTGTGTCTTTGTGATTGTGATTGGGTGTTTGTAGTTGTGGTTGCGCTTGTGTCTTTGTGATTGTGTGTTTGTAGTTGTGTTTGCGTTTGTGTGTGTGGATGTGTTTGTGGTTGTGTTTGTGGTAGTGGTAGTGGTTGTGATTATGTGTTTGTAGTTGTGGTTGTGGTTGTGTCTTTGTGATTATGTGTTTGTAGTTGTGGTTGTGGTTGTGGTTGTGCCTTTGTGATTGTGTGTTTGTACTTGTGGTTGTGGTTGTGTCTTTGTGGTTGTGTTTGTGGATGTGTTTGTGGTTGTGTTTGTGGTTGTGTGTTTGTGGTTGTGTGTTTGTGGTTGTGTGTTTGTGTGTGTGTGTGTTTGTGGTTGTGTGTTTGTGATTGTGTCTTTGTAGTTGTGTTTGTAGTTGTGTGTTTGTCATTGTGTTTGTAGTTGCGTGTTTGTGATTGTATTTGTGATTGTGTTTGTGGTTGTGTTAGTGATTGTGTGTTTGTGGTTGTGTGGTTGCGGTTGTGTAATTGTGGTTGTGTAATTGTGGTTTTGTGTTTGTGGACTTTATCTGGCAAACTATTTGGTTGAGGTCTAGCGGTGTGCACATTGCGATCGGATCCTTGCGGTTGAGGTCTAGCGGTGCACATTGCTATCGGATCTTTGCGGTTGGGGTCCAGCGGTGCACATTGCGATCGGATCCTTGCGGTTGAGGTCCAGCGCTGCACATTGCGATCGGATCTTTGCGGTTGAGGTCCAGGCGTACGCACTGCGATCGGATCTTTGCGGTTGAGGTTTAGGGGTGTACTCTGCGATCCGGAGCTGGCCACGCAAGATTGGCGAAGCAGATTGGCGAGGAAAGAAGCAAGGAGGAAGGAGGAGGACGCGGCGGAGGAGGAGGAAGAGCAATTGTGATAAAATCTAACAACCCTCACCTGGTAGGTAGGGAATAATTTTGGCCAAATGCGGCGGAAGTTTGCTATAAGAATAATTTGACTTGTAGGAGTGTCCCTTCGTACGTGTCCTGCAGACCCCCTTTTTTTTTGACCCACAACGGCATACTCGTTCTGGCACTGTGCGTGCAATGTTATTATGCACGCAATGTTTCTTCTTTTGCCTTTTATCGGTGATTCCAAAACGAAGCAATTCTACGAGATTTCCTCCAAAAATATAATTCGAAGACCAGATATAAAGGTGCAATTTACATTGCGGGAACGATCCTGAAGTTCCCAAAGACAATGAAATTGCAACGACAACTCATCCACCAGCAACACTTGCAGTCACATTTACAGTGCGGAAACCATCCAGGAATTGCAAAATGCAATGGAATTCCACCAACAACACGCATACAAGAAACAGATAAAAATTCTAGTTACAATGGAGGTACGATTCGAATATAATCCGAGCATTACACGAAATCGTTCCGCAACCGTCGTTCCGCAGAGCTTGACTTGCCAGGTTCGGAGCCACCCTTTATGTTAAAAAATATAATATGTCGCGCATTCGCTATCTCTCAAATTGTGCGAGATTTCTTTCCAAAATGCATGTTGAACACCTGCAAAACGAAGCAAATCTGCGAGATTTGCTCCAAAATGTAAGTAGAAAACATGATCCAGCCAGACATGAAAGTGCCATTTACATTGCGGGAACGGTCCTGAAGTTGCAAAATGCACATTTATAATGCGGAAATCATCCAGGAGTTCCAAAATGCAATGGAATTCCATCAATAATACGTGCACAAGAAACAGGTGAAAATTTTAACGACGATGGAAGGACGATTCGAACATGATCCGAGCATGACGCGAGGCCGTTCCGCAACCGTCGTTCCGCAAAAGGACAATATTTTATATGTCCGTTATCTTTCGAAAACGCATTTTTTGTACGAGATTTCTTTAAAAATGCATGTTGAAGAGTGGACCTAAAATTAACTAGAGCGAAATCCAGCTTGAACTTAAACCGAACTAAAGCTAGAACCAACCAAAGTTTGAACTAACAAAATGCTAAAATTAATTAAAGCTAATGCTAATTAGAACTAAACGAAAATACATAGTACGAAAATTTTACCCACTAAATTTCCTTTAATTATATCCCATAATTCATAAATGTCTACAAAATATATAAATCAACCAAAAATTTCACTTTATTACCTAATTCTTACATATACCTGTTTATGAGATATATATCGGAAACATATTTCGAATATATATATATAGAAATAAATCGAATATCCAATCATCATATCAAAATATATACGCAAAAAATCAAAACCATATACCTAAATATCTGAATATCCATTATATCTTTAAAATCTATTATCTTTAATAAAAATCAGATTTTACTCGAATTAGCCGACTACTTCCAACAGATACATAAACTATAAATTAGAAGAAAAACAATAAAAACGTCGTAGCGATACAAAGCCTAATATAATAAATAGAAAATATAAATATATTCAAAAAAATATAAATATCATAAATTTCCATATTTTATATATGCCGGCGGAATAAAAATGCCATATAGGTAGAAATATCATTCAGACGATTCATAATTTTTACATTATAATAAAAAACAATCAAAATTGCGGAAAATAATGCATTAACAATCCATCCGAATTCGAAAACGCAATTCTCTATAAAATTGTTCCGATTATATTCGGACAATAAATTCAAAATAAATCCTCCATTATTTCCATTTATATATCATTAAATAATTCGAGACCTTCATTAAAGACCTTCATTTTCATTAAATGAAATATCCTTATCGAAGAAAAATGCTAACAAAACATCCTCTATTCTATGATTTTGTATCCCCCAACCTCGGACCTCGAATTTCAAATTTCGAAGCTCGCATTTCGAATCTAAAAATTCGAATTTCGATTCCCGAAGCGCAAATCTCGGCTTTAAAATGTAAGAATTCCCATTTCATATTTTAAATACCGGATCTCGAAACCCCAATCTTGCATTTCAAATCTAGGGCCTTGGGTTTCGAATCTGCAATATCTTTCCTCGAATTTTAGATTTCATATATCGAATTTCGCATCTCAGAATTTAGATCTCGAATCTCTCGACGTTCGAAATTCGCATCTCGTACAACTTGCAAAAATATCGAATCCATAAAAAACAATATTCGAATATCGCACAACCTAAAAATATCGAATTTTCCGTTGAACCTAAGACAAAATATCGAATATATAACCGCCATAAAAATAAGTATCTTCGCCAAAAATCCCAAAATAAAACCGGATTATTAGGCCTTTCGATTTCGTCGAATTATACGCGTACGCCTCTTAATAGCCTTATCGTAATAAAATAATATTTTTTAAATAATTCTATATATAAAAAAAAATCCTCAAGTAAAATAATCGTAATTATATATATTTAAAAATAATATATAATTATCTAAAAATATTCAATAGTCAGATATTAATTTTAGTTTAAATCTATATTTATCAGAATTAGAATTCAATAATAATCATGATTTTTCTGTTTATGTCAATTTGTAAGGACCTGCGCAGTCCTACAAATGTCGTTGAGCTCGAGGATCCGGTACAACACCATGGTCCAGCTCTCGCTTCTTGTCGTCCTGCATGTTAGGAGCAGCATCCCATCCGGAGGAACCTATTGTAGCCCACTTTCTGCATCCAGTCCAGAATGTATGCATTATAAAATGTCCGTCTTATGTATCAATATGTCAATGTCCTTCTTTTTCTCCTTCTTTCCCTGACAGCATGATAACGGTACGAAGCCGTCTGGAATTGAACCTTCTGTCAACAAAGTCCACTGGTCACTTTTGCGCTGGCTGCCTTTTCTTTCTTCTCTTTTTTATCTTCTTTTTTATCCTTTTTATCCTTGCTATGGATAACCTTCTGGGCCCATTCCTCAGGACACTCAGGCGTCTATACAACTGAACGAAGAGTGAAGGAGCAGCTTAGGTGCGCACTGTGTTGATGGAATTTGGCAAATTCTGTTCAACAAACGTTGCCATGAACTCCTTGCAGGGAGCACAGTCAAAGCATGAACTGTGAGCATCTGCAAGCATATTGCCAAATGCTCGAGCAAGCTCGCTCCCAAACACTAAATGTGCAGTCCCTGTTGGCATTCAAGACCGCATCCGGAGAGACCCTCCTCATGCTGCAGTACTCCTAGCCAGCGCTCACTTGCTCAGTCATGACTCTCAGGGAGCAAGTTTCTTTCTGGTCCTGATAGGCTGCAGACCACTGTTGGTCATGCTTGAGACCCTTGATCAAGAGCTTGCGCAGTTTTTCCTCGTCCTTGTCAACAAAAAGTGCCAAGGCAAAGCTGAACACTTCTGCACGCTCTTGGCATCACAACATCTTGCTTTTTGCAAGCCAATAGGGGGGGGTCAGGGAAGTTGAGCGAAGCCCTCTGTGCTGCGCAATAAAGAAGCCGCGCAAGGCACCACATCATGCAGCTTAACCAAGCTTTCCTTTCTGCTACTGTATGCTTTGGTCTCAAAACAGTGTTTGGTGCTACTCCGCTTCTGTGGCCTTCTGTTTCGATACCTTAAGTAATCTTCTTTGGAAAGCTGAACTTATCCATGAAAACCACCGAAGAGAATAACATGCAGCAAAGAGAGTGTGCGCGGCAAGGGCCCGGTGGTGGTTACAGGCCTGTGGTTCTGCGGCTGGTGCAGTCTCGTTTCCTGTGGTATGCTGAAGATGGACGATGCGTTTTGCGAGGCTTCATGGAGACTGCAAATGTGAAGGCTTCAAAACAAGCCGGGGCGAAGTGTGAGGAAAGCGTATGTCACCGTGTGGCATACTTCCGAGGAGTGGGAACCGCAGCTCACTCATGAGCCAATGGCCAGGTGTGGGTCATATTCACCTAAGGTTGTAACTTCTTAAGAGTCCTTTTACAATGAAAAATCTAGCACAACCCCACCTGGAAGTCGATCTGCCGCCGCAGCACCTGCTTTGCCACATCTGCTGCGCGTGTTGCGGCCTGTGCTGGTGACATGTGCGCTGTGGATGTGATCGGCATCATGACAATGATAAAAAGGCCACACTGTAGTTCTATACAAAGGAGGCACCGTTTACCTGTGCTGAGTATTTGGGCGGTCTGTGTGAATACTTGGGAGAGAGGAAGGGGAGAACAAAAAAGGAAACCGTTCGGTTGTCTTCGCATCGGCCTCCACCCGCTTTGAGATGAGCGCCTGTGGATCCGGCTTGGCCGGCGTCACAGGCGGTGCTGGCCGCCCCAGTCCGAATGGCAAAACACCCTGCGTTGCACCTCAGTGACTCAAGGTCGATTCTAGTAGAGTCTTTGACTCAAATCACAAGAAAGTTGCAAATTGCTCAGATAGGCAAAGTGCTTACAGCTACTACATTCCTTCAACTCGTCACCTGTTGTCCAATGCGAGAGCATATTCCTTCCTCTCCACGCCTGGGGTTGATGTCTTTGCTCCTGCTGCCGAGCTTTGCTGCGAGATCTGTGCAATGCGAGCCACCTGCATTATGCAAAACCGGCAATTCTTAAAACCTCATGTTTTGTCTGTGCTTTTTTCCTTTTTCTCTTTTGTAGGTTGGAGGCCATGGCTATTAGTTTGGAGGCCATTGCTAGTAGTTGTGGTTTCTTCTCTTTTATCTTTTTTTGTTCACCTTTCCAGGTGACCTCACTGAGCTTAGGACCGAAGAGGTGTCCACAGGTGGTGCATTGCTTGTCGGCGAGGGCACGCCTGCAATAGGTGTTCTTCGGCCAAAGAAGTCTTGATTCGTGTGCGGTTCTTAGCTCCAGCACATGGCCCCTCTTGGACTCAGTCACACCTTCACAGTTGAGATCTTCGTCATAGGTTCTGGCCCCGGAGATCTCAACTGTGAACATGGTTGTTTTGTTGAGATCTTCGGTTCTCATAGTTCGCTTATTGCTCGATAGAACCAGTCCTGACTTCTCCTCGTCAGGCGCCAACAAGCCCTCCTCGATCAGGAGCATCTTCACTGGCTTGTGCTGTACAGAATCCCCAATTCCTTGGCTCTGTGGGCCATGGTAATTGTGGTGGGGCGGAGGGCTCCAAAGTCCGCTGGTTTTTTGAATTTAATCAAAAATGCCCTTGATGCACTATTTCCACGGGTGGGTCTTCCATCGGAACTGCTCGCACCGCTGCCTTGCACAACCGCAGGTGTGGCAGTGATTTTCTCACACATAGGCTAAGCGGCTAAGCGTCCCACTTTGTGGAACACAAACACGTCTGCAGCAGCCTGCCCTTTCTACAGTGATGGTTTACGTTGAGCTTTGCCAAGAATCACCATTTTGGAATGGAGCTACTGTGTGTAAGAGTTTGGAGGTAGAATTGCATGAATAAAGGATCTGTTCCTACTGTGATTGCCAATGGTATGCAAGTTATCAGCATGCCAAATATGCCAAGTCTTTTCCGTTCCGCCTGCCATGATTGGTTGCGTTTGAGACCGTCCACCCCTCAGATTGACTGTTCACCAATGAGTACACATGGGGTGGATGCAGCACAAACGCTGATCCCATTGACAATGTAGGTCGAAGTGAGACTTTGAACGGTGTTTGTTCGCACAAGCTTCGGTAGACATAGAGGTTGCCGCTGATGGTATGTAGCGTAACTTCCTTGCCACTGACACGGTACACACCTCAAAGCTGAGGGGCTGCAGTCTCAACTGCAAATATGATCAAATATGCCATCAAATTGGAGCCCCCACGTGTCCAGCAATCCCTTCATAATACAGTCCGGAGCTTATAACTCGAGTGGGCACCCCTGCCATGGCTAATCTTCTGAACGTGCGCGCGCATCTCAGGGTTCACTGGTGCCAAGGCTTCTTTCATCAGCAAATCGATCAGATTGTCCACGTCTCCTAGGATGGCTCGAATGCTAGTAGGCCTTTAAGTTTCCGAAAAAAACTAGGAACCAAATGAATAATGCGAGCGCTTCTTCAAGGAAGCGTGAGCTATCCTGCGTCCATATGTAGTAGCGTCCACTTGCAGGGAGCTGCCTGGCTAACCTACCTCACCTCTACTAGCGGCCTGCCCCCCCCCAGAAAAAAACGCGTCCACGGTATGCAATAGGAAACCCTTAAATAGCTCAAAAAGCCCACCGTTGCGTTTCCAGCCTTCGACCGCAGATTTGGAATCAGCATCGCCTGGTCAAAATGGCTTTCCAATGGCTTGGTATTGTGGGAAAACCACTGCTGGACGAACAAAAAGGAGACATGAGCTTGGGATGGCAGGTGCCTCGTGGGGATGCAGGAGGCGGCACCGGTGGCAAGGGAGGCAAAGGACCAGTCCTCGTATTGGGAATGCGCAGGGTTGTTATGATGAACCGGTCTACTTGCTGAAAAAGTCCAGAAGGCAAGCCGTTGCCCAGTGGATGATTCTGCAGGAACGTCATTGCCAAGCCAAACTGTAGAGACGAGAAGCGACGCAGCAAGGCGCGCTCCGTTCTGCACATCAACCTTGACAAACAAAACATGTTCTCTTTCTGGTCGACTTGTGTTTGGACAAGTTGTATATAAACATTGACAGACATGATTGTGCCAACCATATCGATTCAAACAGATCTGAAAGGTCTTGCAAGCTGTAGCTGTCCATCCAGCACTAAGAGCTGCACCTCAAGCCAACGGCCCGTCCGTTGCAGAAGGCTGAGGAGCGTCTCCCTAGACAGGCTGTGCCGCGGCAAGAAGATGGGGGTACCCTGCGCGGCTGCTGCAACAAATGTTTTTGCAATCTCTGCTGCAAGAATTGGCAACCATATAACTACCGCTCTAGCAGGTACAGTAAATAATTACCTTTACTCTAGCAGGTATGGCTTGTGCTCACTGCTCAAAACCCTGCAACCCAAAGCATCGAATATATAAAATCCAACAGTCTGGACCCAACCTCCCTAGATTAAAACAAGAGGAGTCCGTTCACACTTAGCCAGAGGAGTCTCTAGAAAAGCGGTCAGTCTCCTTTATTTTGATAGCACCTCCCTATGTCACTATGTAGACTCTGCAACAGCTCTCCATGCCCAAACAAGGAAGGCCACGCAGCGCAACGAGAAAGACTCCGAGATGCCCAACCTCAGTGAGCCACTCCGACACCGCATCTGCCAGTTTCGATGGGCCATGGAGCGGCAGCCAATCTCCTGTCGTGGCGTTAAAAAATCTCTGTAACAAGAAGCTACTAGGAACGAGTGCATCGCTTCTAGTAACAAGTGCCTTACTAGTACCAACAAGAAGCTAGTAGTAACAAGTGCCTTACTAGTAGTAACAGGTGCATTACTAGTAGTAACAGGTGCCTTACTAGTAGTAACAGGTGCCTTACTAGTAGTAACAAAAAGCTAGTAGTAACAAGTGCCTTACTAGTAGTAACAGGTGCCTTGCTAGTAGTAACAAGAAGCTAGTAGTCACAAGTGCCTTACTAGTAGTAACAGGTGCCTTACTAGTAGTAACAGGTGCCGTACAAGTAGTAACAACAAGCTAGTACTAACAAGTGCCTTACTAGTAGTAACAACAAGCTAGTAGTAACAAGTGCCTTACTAGTAGTAACAGGTGCCTTACTAGTGGTAACAAGAAGCTAGTAGTAACAAGTGCCATACTAGTAGTTACAGGTGCCTTACTAGTAGTAACAGGTGCCTTACTAGTAGTAACAAGAAGCTAGTAGTAACAAGTGCCTTACTAGTAGTAACAAGTGCCTTACTAGTAGTAACAGGTGCCTTACTAGTAGTAACAGGTGCCTTACTAGTGGTAACAAGAAGCTAGTAGCAACAAGTGCCTTACTAGTAGTAACAGGTGCCTTACTAGTAGTAACAAGAAGCTAGTAGTAACAAGTGCCTTACCAGTAGTAACAGGTGCCTTACTAGTGGTAACAAGAAGCTAGTAGTAACAAGTGCCTTACTAGTAGTAACAGGTGCCTTACTAGTAGTAACAAGAAGCTAGTAGTAACCAGTGCCTTACTAGTAGTAACAGGTGCCTTACTAGTAGTAACAAGAAGCTAGTAGTAACAAGTGCCTTACTAGTAGTAACAGGTGCCTTACTAGT